CAACATGAGGTCACTTACATTGGGCTTTCAATGATGGGGCTGTTTTGCATGTTTGCATGGGGTTGAGAGCTAATTTGCACCGTTCAAAGGTTTTGAGGGTTTATTTACACCATTTTTAGTTTAGGGTCTCATGTGCTAATCTGGGCCAAGTTTGGGGACTTAAGACAGGGCTTTGCCTTTTGTAAAATTCAGCACTAAACTATGCAATAATCAAATATTATTTCATCACGTGAGCTTAATTTTAAGTATTAGAGCTTAACTTTTATATGTTATTTGTTTTGGTTACAATTATTTACAATTCAAATAAAATATTATTTATATATAAATATCGAGTTTGATAGTAATAATAGCTAGATTCAAGCTCTTGTCTTCAATTAGAGCTTATATGTACTCCTACAAAAGAAAGAAAAAATGTTATGCACAATTTGGACAATGACTTTAAAAAAAATGTGCTAGTAGAACACTAATTATGAAGTTGTTACATCTAATGGCATAGTTTTTTTTTTTTAAAAAAAAAAAATTAATTTCTATAAATGCAATGGGTGATAAGTGCAATAGTAAGATACCTGATAATTGAAAAAAAAAAGGTTTTGAAATATATATAAATTATTTTAAAGAGGGTTTAGTTGTTTGGATAAAAATATTAAACATGTTATCTATTTTTTTTTTGTCTTAAATGGTTATATGTTTTTAAATTAATTTTTATGTATTTTAAAATTAATCTTTTTATTCTTAAATCACCTTAAAAATATAAGTAAGTTTAACTTTAGTTATCATATCACTTATTAAACTTCATATTTAAATACTATTACCCACAATTATAAAATATTAACTTTTTAATAAGAAAAAACTCCTTAATATTAAGGTTTTATTTTCATTAAAATTTTTATATTTTATAATTTAAAATAATTCAAACACTAAAATAATGCTCCCATATAAAATATAAATTTATAAGAAAACAAAAAAAGTGAGTATTAATTTATATTATAAAAAATTAGATTAAAATATATTAAAATTATGTTATTTTAATAAAATTTTATTAAAAATTAAAATATATTAATTATTTTAAAAATATTTTATTAAAATAACATAATTTAAAAATATATTTTATTTATTTATTTTATAAATCTAATTAATAAACATTGATCATGTCAATGTTTTTATTTTTATTTTTTTAAATGGAAGAAAAGCACGCTTTAAAATTTTGCCACCCGTAGCAGTTAGCACATGACTACACACAGCATGCGGTCACGTCCACCGTTCTTATTCAAGTTGAGAGTAATGGAAGAAAGGAAAGTTTTTGATTTATTTGATGATAAATAAGATTAGAGGGAGCAAAGTTTTTTATTTTATTTTTATTAATTTATTTATGGTTAAATTTTTAATTTAATCTTTTAATTATGGTAAGAATTTTTAAGTTAATAAACAAAATATTTGATTTAGCTTTTAAAGCTCTTTAAACATTTTTTTATTTATAAAATTAAAGTTTAAGATTTTATTCACATCAACCATTATTAGGAGTTAAGAAAACAATTATTGCTTATCTTTAGAGTTTAAATACAGCGATGCATCTCAGCTAGACAATTTTCATCTTGTATCATCATCTACCATCAATCACGTGATTGGGCGACGCTCATCGCACGCCATAGCCCCTTCAAAGCAAAGCTCTTTGTATTTTTTTACTTTTATTTCAGTTTGTATATATACGTAAACACGGTTTTCTCGTTTTCTACACTAAACTACTAAAGTCCCCTCCCACACTTTTTTTTTATTTTTTTCCTTTCTGAAAAAATAAAATAATATAATTGATAGTGTTCTTGCTTCGCAAGTTACAACTATATCTAGTTTTTTTATTTTTAATATTTTTTTTTCCGTTTTGGAAATATTAATTAATAAATTATTTGTGTGGTCAGCTTCTTTATTTTATTTTATTCGGAGCCACCTTCGTCGAAACTTCATCGTCTGCCTTATATATACGACAAAAGTGAACAGAGAGAACAATACTGACGGTTACGGAGTTACGCAGGTACTTTATGTTTTTTTTTTTTTTCTTTTAAATTTTGATTTTCTGTAAATATATAAAGTCAAATCACGAGAGTACCGTGTAACAGTAACTTCACGAAAAA